TAGATAGATAGATAGATAGAAAGATAGATAGATAAATAGATAGATAAATAGAGATAAAGAAGGATAGACAGATAGAAAGATAGATAGAGAGAGAGAGTGAGATAGATAGACAGATAGACAGATAGACTGACAGACAGATATAGAGGGAGGAGAAGAAATAGACAAACCAACAAACAAAAGACTGGAGACAAAAAGCTAAACGAGGTCATTCCAATACGAGAAACCACCTGCTGAGAAAGAATGTGTCTTAATCAGGACGAGACGAGATTGGAAGGCCCAGAGAGTGACAAATGTGATGTAGAGTGGCAGTGATAAAGGAGAGAGAGAGGGAGGAAGAGGAGAAGTTTTGATAATAATACTGATAATAAGACTGATAATAAGACTGATAGTGATAATAATAATAGTAGTAGTAGTAAAGAGTAGTAGTAAATAATAGTAATGACAGTAATAATAATAATAATAATTATAATAGTAATGACAATTGATAATAATGATAATTATGATAGTAATAATATTGATAATTATTATAATACTACTACTTATAATAATAATATAATGATAATAATGATGATAATGAAAATAATAATTGTCATAAGGAAGAAAAAGAGGAAGGGAAGGAATGAGGGACGAAAGCCATGTAGAGAGAAACAGACAATACAGAATAAAAATAAATAAATAAACAAACAGAAACCCACACTACGAATCATTATCCACCAAATGTTCTTACGTTTCCTTCCTTCAACGAAGCTCAGTGCCGGAGAAAGACACCTTATCAAATTAGTTTCTCTTAAGAAAGGCCGACTCCTTGATAAAGCTTATGGAACCGTAGAACCTCGGGTGAATTCTCGACAAAGGAGCGAGGCCAGATTCGGCAACAGGGAATAAAAGCGAAGAGGACCTGCATGCGAGAAAGGGTGGTATTCACTTTCGATATTGAGGTTGGAGAAAGGGGCATAACGAACGGATAGATTACGAATGGAGATAATACGATGGTGTAACGTAGAGCGAAGGCAGTATAGAGAGAACTAAGAAAGGGGTATAACGAAGAAAATAGGATGTTGTAACGTCAAGAGAAGACGACATAGAAAATGGAGAGCAAAAGGAGCAATGATAATGGACCTTCAAGTGATGGAGTCGAGAACGAAGAGAAAATGGAGAGAACGAAGATGAAAACGAAGTGGAAATAACGAAGAATCGACGGATGTAACACAGAGAGAAGCAAAATCAAGAAACGCACTGAATCATTATTTCAACACGCTTTGGACTTTGGAATAAACCACGATGAAACAGAATAAAGTAGAAAAAGAGATCTATCGTAGGTGTTTAAAGAGATGAAGTTTGATGAATGGTGAGATTAATATCAAAACTTCCCTAATCCCCCTTTCAAACCCTGAAAAAAAGCCAATTCAGTTAGGCGGATTCGATCACCGATTCGAAACTCCCCCGCAATATAACGAATTCATCTTCCAAAGACCCAACTAACATCCTTAAGTCTTGAGTCTCCATTAAATATATATGACTTCGATAATAAGATTATTAAATTTTACACACCGTTATAACGTTCATGATATTGTTTGCTAATGTTAACGTATTTTTTCCCAATAGTTCTCATCTTAAGGGCGTTTTTACTCTCCCTGTAAATATCTATTGCTAATCTAATCAAGCATAAAAACGATTTATCTTCACGTATTTCAAATATTCATTATCATCCCCCGTAACCCTTGAACCATAACAGTAAGGCTGTTTCTCCTGGCAATAGAATTATATGAATAATACATAAGCCAAACAATATCCTCAGTCATTATTGGTCAGCTGAACCTCGCCATCACATTGATAATTCAGTAATTGGATAGATAGGTAGGTATAGGTATATACTGTACACTATGTGGAAGGCAAAAGGGTGTATTGTGCTGTGGGTGTGAGGTTTTGTACGTGTGGAGGAAGGTAGAAGAGTGCGTGAGTGTGCGTGCGTGTGTGTCAGTCAGTTAATGTGTGTGTGTTAGTATGTTAGCGTATGTGACAGTAAGTTAATATGCGTATGTTAGAGAAGAGAGAGAGAGAGAGAGAGAGAGAGAGAGAGAGAGAGAGAGAGAGAGTGTGTGTGTGTGTGTGTGTGTGTGTGTGTGTGTGTGTGTGTGTGTGTGTGTGTGTGTGTGTGTGTGTGTGTGTGTTGCGCACACAAGCGTGCGTTTATGCAGTATGTGAGTCTGCATACAGAAGACTCATATTCAAACTTGAGTGAAAATCTCTTAACAGCTTCCTACATTCAAGATGTATCTCTTAAACCTCATCTCTTGAACTTAAGCATCTTCTTGTTTACCTCGCGGACAGCTTCTGCCTCGAGCACAAGCCGAACGCACTGTTCTTTATTGCTATTGGTCAGTTTATCTCCAATGGAATCGTTGTGGCAGATGCTGGGAGGAACAGTACAGGAGATGTATTTGACCGGTTTCGATTATATCTCCGTCAGAAATACATGCATTTCTGACGAAGATATAAT